GGTCTCTGGAATGGTTCCTATGAAGTGTGAGAGGAGGGTGGGCAGCACCAAGGGCTTTGGGAACAGCTGGGCCACTTCCGGGCTTGGCTGCCGCTCCGTGGGCCTGTGAGCGCAGAGGGCAGCACCCTGCGGGCAGCTCACAGCTCAGTGAACCTCGCTTCAGGCCATGCGGGGTTTTAGTAAAATCATACCGAATAGAAAAACATCCTTTAATGCAGTAAAGGTTGCAGTTACTTAAAAAAAGCCCCAACAAACCAACACAGAAGGAGTTTAAGAGGTGTGCACTTTTCTTTAGAAATGAATGTGATCAACATTCTGAATGTCATCTGATGTAAGCACCAGGACAGCAAACATGAAATGGTAGACTGTGCAGGGAGAGAAAGATTTAGTATGAGCAGAGAAAGCCAATCTTGGTCTGATGAGTACTGGAGGTAAAGAGTAAAAAAACTTACATAAATTCATGTCATAAATAGGTTGTCCTTGAATATCAGCTGTTAAACATTCTCATTGAAAAGCCATATGATAGAGAGGAGTGCAGTTGCTTGTGCTGTGAGGGTGATTGTTACACCATCCACAAAGTACAGTCTTTCTAGAGTAGAGCTACAGAAAATAATTTTAAGTAGAGCTTCTTGTCCCACAATTCTTTTTTTTTCTTTTTTCCTTTTAGGAAATAAATCACCATGTCGTCTGCACTGTTACCTAAGCCACAAATGCGGCGCCTTCTGGCCAGGCGGATGAAGTTTCACCTATTTGGGGCATTTTTGGTATCTTTGGGATGTGCAGCTATATATAAGGTGAGCTCTGTAGTCATTCAGTTATAAACGGGACTCTTTAGAGTGCTTTAAGAATTCATAATATTTTTTGTTGAGATTTGGTTAAGCTGTTCATCAGAAAGCTTTAGTAACATATTTTTGTAAGCACGTTTCCAGAACATAAATAAATCCTCTAATCTTCATTTGAAGAAATAATGTGACTAACCTGATGCTTTAAGCTGTGTGATCAAGATCATGCAATTCATGACAGTCTCCTTGTCCTAGACTACTCATAATCATGCACATTAACTCTAGATAGTCTGTGTCTCTGTCACAGTATTCAAGCATTGAGAGTGTTGTCAGATTCTTATTTCTAGACTGACTTCAGAAAACTTGCTCAAAAGCAATTTGGAAAACCCATCCTTGATACTGAGGCTCTCAGTGTGGGGAAAGCTGGTGTGGTCATTTTACCCTTTCTTTTGAAGTATCGTGGAAATGGAGCATTACATTTCAAAAAACCCAAACCCATCCACTTACAGATTGCTTTTCATGGTCCTTAAGAAACTTCTGGTAAAGGTAGCAGTGGTAGTTGTTCTTGTGTGCCTTTACCAAATGATTCTTGGATCTCATACACAAAGCAAGCAGCACAGTTAGAGTTACTGTGGAAGAACTGGATCTTGGTTTGGTCGTTGAACTCGTGCTATTTGCAGCATTTGAGTACTCAGGAAGCTATTGATAAAAGTGATTTCAGGTTGTTTGTCACAAAAATATCCCAATCTACCTACACTTCTGAGAGATCAGCAAACATCTCAGAAATAAGTTTGCACAGTTCAAGTTCAACATCTACTTAAGACCTCTGTTAAGAGGTAGGCAAGCTTGGTTTTGGGCAGACTTACTGTATTTATTTTTTTAATAGTTAATAAAACATAGAAGGTTTTATACCTTCTCTGTCACTCCCACATTAATACAGTAATAAGGCAGCAGACCATATTTAGAATGAGTAGGATGGATCTCAGTAGTGATTTATTTCCTTACATGTTAGATAATGTTGGACAAATCCACCTTGGACTTCCCTTCACATGTTTGGGGGCTTTTGGAGCATATCTGTGTGCTTCAGGTGAATGAGTATGCAAGGAGTCAAGATTGTGTCTTTCTGTGTTGGTGAGCTGTATGAGTGGCTTGGAGGTCTTGTAAAATTTTACCAGACTTCGGTAGTTGACCTACAGTGTAGCTCAAGTGTTCAGGACACCTTTTTATCTGGAGTTAGAGTTCTGCAGCTGCCCACAGGCATAAAACTTGCCATAATGGCATGTTTTACATACAAAAATATTAACAGGGAGGGCAATGGACACATGAGTGTCAGTATAGGTGGAGTGTTCCTGGATCTTAAAAGTATAATGTGCTATCTTGTAACGGACTTCCTTTTTAAGGTTTTACTTCAGATAGTTGTTTTCCTGACCAGTGGTCAGGTAGACTAAGCTGTGGATTTAAACAGAAACAAAGTGCTATTTTGCTAATTTGAGATGAAGGCTTTTAGGACTGATATCCACTGGTACAAATCATAGTGCCAGTAGAAAAAAAATCCTGGTTGTAAAGGTTGGCAAGGTTTAATTTTCTGTGTGTCACTTTCCAGTTTGGAGTTGCTGAGCCCAGAAAACGAGCTTATGCAGAGTTCTACAGAAACTATGATCCCATGAAGGACTTTGAAGCCATGAGAAGAGCCGGTGTGTTTGAGTCTGCACCACCCAAATGATGGCATCCTGCATTTACAGGTAGTAAGCTACTCTGCATTCGGGCAAGAGTAAATTAGGTTCAGTGATACAGGAGACTTGCAGAGAGTGATGCCAGGCCTTTCACTCCTCACGCAGCCATGGAGAGGAGAATTGCCTGATACCACTGTTACGCTGCTGTTGTCACACCTTGAACTGCTTAGCTTTAGGCTATTTACATCTACTACTTAGGTACTTGTGGTAGCACAGTGAGTGAGATGGAGAGGCTGTTTCTCTATCATAGCATGCATCTTAATGTAAGGAGCAGAGGCAGCTTCCACACATCCTTTTGTCTTTCGAAGTTGGTGATGGGGGAAGATAACTAGTCCTGAGAGGAAATATGTTTATATACACACACACATATATAAAAATTGCAATAGCATACTGCTCTGTGTACTAATATTCAGATTTTTGCCATCCTGAATTAAGCTTGAATAGAGCTTTGTTCATGATACTGTTTTCCTAGCACTTAGTGCTGACTTTGTTTGAAGACTATCAAACTTTGTCCTCCCTGTCTTCATAACACCAGGAAAAAAAGTCCTGATTTCAACCTTGTAGTTATTAATAACCACACTCACTAAACTGCACAAGCTCATGGTGTGACAACTCAATAAAGAATTCCTCCCCCTTTCTTGATCCAAATTTCTTACTTTGAGTTCTCTGCTTCTCCTAAAATTACTTCTAACTAATCTAGGATGATAGCTTTTTCATTCTTTTGGAATGTTTTCATATTGTGATCATTACGTGATAATCTGTGTCTCTAATTATCTCGGCCAGCTGGATTTTCTCAGCCTGTTTGCATAAAGCAGCAAGATTGAATAAACGATTTGTACTCGACACTATTAATATCAAATTCTGTTGTGTGACAAGCTAAAACTATCTGATTTCTGTACAACACCATTACATTAAAAAAGCAGAGCTCTAAGAAGTTTAAAAGTTAAAAAAAGAAAAAACCTCCATGACAGTCCCTTTGGTTTGGGATTTTGGTTTGTTTTTTTTTTTTTGTGAGATGGGGAAACTTCTGTTCTTTAGCTGTGACTGCAACAAAGATAAATAATGAAATGCTGCATTTACCTGGTTTTGTTTTTGTTAATTCTGCCTCTGGTTTGGTCCCATTGCTAATATATAGGCACTTCTGAACTAGACACTGGAATTGCATTCTTTAGTCAGGTGGCCTTCATCAGGGTGTTCTGAAAGGCCATCTGGTGGTAAAATCATTTGAAACAAACACTGTCAACAAGGATGCATGTTGAATATTAAATTGGAATCATGAGCAGGACTTTTTCAGTGCAAATAGAGCTTTGCTCTCTATTAGCTGATGTTTGCAGCTTAAAAAAAATTGCACACTGTGAGCACCTGTTAAAATTAAATGTTTCCTAAACATTTCTTCCATTCCTTAATTACGCCAGCTCAAAAGAAAATGTGAAAGACAAGGCATTATACGGGATTTTGTTTGAATTTTTGATGTTTCTTATTCCTTAGCCTTTTCATGTCGTAACTGGTACTTTTCACTCCTTTACAGTAGAAAGAGTTTTGGGGTTTTTTATACATGCACATGAATACTTAAGTAGAAGGGGAAAGCAGTGCCAGTGTTTCAAATGTTCTGGAAAGACTGTGAAAAGGACAAGTACACAGAACAAATGGAGGACATTTTTATTTGTCCCAGTAGCTTAAATCTTGGCTATGGAGGTTGGATTTGATGCTTTTTTGCTATAGTTACCTAAAGAGTATACTGGTCATGCATGCTTTACATCTCCCATTTTACTGGAATATATTCTGTATGTGGCAGTAAATACAGTGGTTTAACCTCATTGAATACTGACTCTGGAATCAGCACTTAGCCCCAAAACTGAGGAAAGGGAGGGGAGTTCCTTAGCTAAGATGGCATGCTGCATTGAGTTTGTTCCTGCTGGGCATGCAGGCAACTTGGTACCTATGGGTGAATTGGCATGGACTTTGTGTGGGGATACTGATAATGAGTGTAAGTATAAATCTGAGGAGTATCCTACCTCTAAAGCATGCTCAGTAATAGAAGAAAGGGGCAAGCGAAGAGTTTGGTGCTAACCCCCACTTGCATGACTTGTCATGGAGCACAGCTGGTCTTGGGTTGTGTTCAATGTAATGTGGAGAAGCAATTTGAATTTGGTTTTCTTCCTTCCTTGGTAGGTTGCCTACACCACTTGTTTCCTTTCTGGCTTCTATCTGAAAGCTGCATTCCTTTCTCTTTCAGGCCCTTAGCAAGATTGATTCAGTTATCAGTGCAGCATGTATAGTGGATCTGATGTGCTGTGCAGTATTGTTCCAGCTCTTGATTTGTTCCATGTTTCACTTCTGTTTGCCACATGAAGGGTGTGTGAATCTTAACCCATCAGGAAATAACAGGGGGAATTCCTTTAGACAAAACCACCACATAAACATTTCTCTCTTGCTTTGCATTCATACATGCTGATAATGTTTACTCAGAGCATGAAGTTTGTCCAACTTAACTTAGTGTTTTTTTTTTATCTTGCAGGTCCCCCGTCAGTCTAAGGAAATGTGATGACTGAACCTTATTTGTTCACTGAATTGTAAAGTGTAGTGCACTTCAGTGCATGGCACGCTCTAATATAACTCAAATAAAATACATCACAGTGGCATTAGTTGTCTTCATTAATGTTGAAATGCTTAACTGCTCAGATGCTGGGAGGAGTGGTGGAAAGTCTTCATAAATTGCTCAAGGTGATTAAGTCTTGTTTCCTTCTCCCCAGGAGCTGTTTACCCCTCTGATTTGGCCAAATTCCATGTTTTATAACAAAGCGTATCCCAAAGCAGGTACAGCTCGTTTGTCCCAGCTGCTGGTGGGAATGTGCAAGAGGGTAGTTGTTACAGGAAGGGAGAGGCTGGATTTGTGGAAGGGGCTGGCCTCTGGCTACACAGGGTGAACTCACCTTGAGATGAAAGTCTTTGGAGAGGAATTCTGGAAGAATACTGGCCAATCTTCCTATCAATCTCCTTCTATTGTCATCACTGTGTTGCCGTTGTTGCAGCAGCCAACTGCTACATCAATACTTAAAAACTGCAAATGCCCACTCTTACACATGGTATGTTACTCTGATGGGAAAATGACTAACCTGCAGGTATTCGATGTACAGGGAAGGGGATAGAGAAAAGAAACACTTCTTTTAGGGTATTATGGTAATGAGTACCTTTGTGTGCTGCTTCTAGACATGTATTGTTTCATTTTTAAGTGTAGTTTTGATCTCTGCTACATTCTGTAGTCCAAGACCTGATGCTCTGTGTTCTGCCATGATACCTGTCACGTGGAACATGCTTTGTGCATTGCCTGTTGCTGAGGTTGATGATGGATGGTACTGGGACTGTAGCTCTTGATTGCTGAGTGTGAGTTCTGGGAGAGGAGTTGGAGCTGATGGTGTGATGGGAGGGAAGGCTTTGTACAGAGCAGCATGACAAATTAGGCCATCTGTGTTGTATTTGAAGGTCTTCAGTTCAAATCCTGTTTGGAGTAACTCATTATTTTAAATGGATCATTAACTACTTAACACTTAATAGGTATCAGTGAGCAACATTTGGACTAATGAAAGCACGTAGGTAATGTATTTGATCCAGAGAACTATTACAGAGCAATGTGGGATTTTTAAACTCTCCATACAGGCAGTGCTTCCTTTAAGCAAAGAAAGAATTTGACATTAGCTGTGCAGGGGAAACCATCTTGTAATCAAAATACCCCTGCTCCTATAAATGTAAACCAGAGCTTAACAATAGCAAATGATACCCATTTATCTTCCCAATGTACAGTATAAACATTGCATGCCATTAAGTACCGACTAGCATTTTCTCAGGCTTGTCTGCAGGTTTAAATAGCCGGGGGTCTTCAGTCATACTGACAGCCTCTGAGGCAAAGCAACTTGCTACTGCCAGGTGTGCCGGCTAGCAGTCCTGCCTTCCCTTGCAGGTCTAGCCTCTCTGCTCTTCCCAGTTGCTGTGAATTAATTTAAAGTCTAAGTTTCTTCTAAACTGTTACAGCCAACAGCACTTATTGTTGTAGTCTGTGTTCCTGCAGTTACCAGCACGTGCTGATTTAAAGAAATGAGAGTTTTGTGACTGATGGTGGCTTTTTGACCCTACAGCAGAGGTGTCTCTAGCTAAATCTGGTCAACCATGACAAGGACAGGTGAGCTTCAACTTTTATGTCTGTGCTTTGAGAGGCTGCAGGGTAGAACTGTTGCTTTCTGTGTGTAAGGTTTCATTACGCATGTAAAACAAGTGCTTTCTTTCAGCAGGCAAAGCTAAAAACTAAAAAGACACATTTGAAGTTGTGAGCTCTCCAGGTCTAAAGAGCATTATGAGAGCAGGCATGTTGTAAAAGTACACATTGGAGTGCTTTAGCTGCCAAGTACAGGCAGCTGCTCTTTGGACAACTTTGTTTTCATAGTTCTCACAGCCCGTATGTGAAAGAGGCTCATTTATATGCCATCTCCACATGTTTCCATACATGTGGTCGGAAGGGGGAGAAGGAACCTGCCTAACGCAGTAAAGATGCTAGCTTAATTCACAGAGTGTAATTCACAGAGTGTAATTTAAGCAAGTGTTTATTCCAGGAGAATATAATGCAGGAAAAACACAAATGTATCTTAAACAATGGCTTCAGTCTGCAGTCTACCAACTTTTAAAAGTTAAACTGCTGCCTTCCCTCATTTTTTTACAGGTGTGTTTGCATTCTCTTGGCTGGCCTGTGTACTACATAAATAATGAACAGATTCAACTAATTCACATGGTGACTACAGTGCTGTTTTGATTCAGTCACAAAAGCAGAAAACTTTTCAGCACTCTTTTTTTTTGGCAAGCTAATCATCAGGTTTTACTTACTATGTATTCTTGGGATTTATTGCATTTTTTAGGACACGATGGAAGTCCAGTGACCATTGGAATCTAATGGGGTCTACATGAAGCTTGCTTGTCTGTCCTGTCCTTGTTCTACACAATGACCTGTTCATTCCCTGTAACCAAATGACCAAATAGCTCACAAAACCAGTAGTATAGGAATAGCTTTATTATCTCTAAACAATCTCATTATATTACAATTTGTCCACCAATATGCAAAATTAGAAGTATTAAACTATTTCCATAAAATATTCAGGAACTAAGCATGTGCGTGTATATACATATACATTTTTTAAACAGTGTTATTTCAACAATGACTATTAAATCACTGTATGAAATGTTGATAATGGATGGGCTTATTTCACAGTCAGAAAAGGGCAATGCAGATCCCAGGCGTCTGTATTTTCGGTACACAAGAGACATGGCTTTTACAAATACCCTTTAACAAAACAGAACTCATGAAAAAAACATTGCAGTTAGTTACTACATTCTTATTCACTGTGCATTTGGTCATATCAAGTATGCATAGAAGTTATTAACTATAAAGCATATGCATCTGCTTCAAATGATGATCAGATTTTATTCCAGTTCTTGTCTCCAATTCTGGCCATGTTCAGGAATCCCCATACAAAAATTCATGTCCATAAGTACATAGAAAAGAGGAGAAAAGTAAGACACATAGTTGAAAACCAAGTAAGCTTTTGGGTTTTAAAACTGCCATAATCAGATTTGGTTTATAAAGTAATCAAACTGTGCCCAGAGTCATTTCTTGTCTACTACAAGCTGTAAAACATCTGAAAAATAAGACACTTAGAAAGCTCTTTCATCTTGATGTGTTTAACATATATTTATAAGTGTATTGTGATGGCATCATGAGCTGTTAATGTAACTGGCGCCTGTGGGTCCCTACTTTTCAATCAACTTGAAAAAAAAAAATCTCACTTTGCTTAGCACACATTTGAAGGGTCATGTTTTTAAATATCCCTGGTTTTATCTGTTCAATGATGATAACATAAAATGACTCACGGTTCAGATGTAATAGGCGCTGATCAGAAGTAAGTGAGACCCAGCAAGGCTATATTTAGCACCTGCACATCTATGTTAAATTGAACTTGTAGGGTTTTAGTAGATTTTAAGGAGACTGAGCTCTGTTTCTTAAATTTTTGAACTGCATGTTACTGGCTTCTAGCTAACAACCAGACAATGCACGATGTCCTATATACATTGAAAGTCCTTCTGAAAATTTGATAGTGGATAAAATAAAGTTTCTGTATACAGAGAGTTTTGAAAAGAAATTCATGTTGTAGTTCATGTTTTGTTCTCCAAACCACACAAAGGCACTAGTTTACATTAAGTCCTGCAAAACTTCAGTCAAATAAAGGAAGCCATTTTAAGGTTAAAGTGGTGCTAAACCCCAGCTGTCACTAGTAACTTAAACCAGCCACACCGGGTTTTTCAGATTTAGTGGGGGAAAATGTTTTACCTCAGGACGTACGTGTTGGGGCAGGGGGTGCATGCTGGGGGGGAAAGGCTCAGCCTTGAGCAAGTTTTTACAGCTGAGTTATGAACGTGGTTTATAACAGAAACTGGCAGACCCTAAAATATGATATAAAGAATATTGATACACATTTTGTGTGTGTGGCAAAACTGCACGCAATTTTGCCTTGTTCTCTGATTTTTGGCTATTGAAAGGAAAAAGGATTTTGATTGAGCTACAGTCCAAGGCTGTTCCTTTTCCCTTTATTCGTCTGCTATAACACTTTCCTTCCAGCACTAGTATTTTGGCTAAGGAGCAGGAATTAGAAAAAGCTATTGGGCTTTGTTATCATCTCCTACCTCCTCAAAAATTGTATGCAACTCTACTTGGTGTAGGTTACTGCAGAGAAAGCATTATTTTCAAAACGGTAAGACATTGCTATACTCACCACAAATTATTATTAATTAAATCCTTTCCTCAAGGCTTTATTTTTCACCATGGTGAATTTGCTAATGAATACTTGGGCAAAATTTGGATCAACTACATATTGGTATGTTTTCATTGTAGTTGGAAGGTGTTCAGTAGCCATGGTCTGCAATGATGGCACTGTTGAGGTGCTGGGAGTGAGGTGGTACGATGTCTTTGTGATGTACTCCACAAGGCGGTTGTATTGTTGTTCTGATAGTCTCTCTCTAGCTCCATCTGCCTGAAATCAGATATAATATTAAATAGTAATATATAGATAATGTAAAATAGTTACCGAGTTATTGACAGTAGCTGAATGTGGTACTAAAAGCAGTAACTTCCACATAACTTTCTGTGGTTAAAAATCTTCATCCCTGGGATCTTTCTTATAACGGTCACATGGATATTTTAATCAAGTGGTTTCCTGTAGTCTAGTGCTTAGAGGATTAGTCCTCTCCTTTCCTTTACTGTTTTGGACACTTTGAGAAGCTCCAATGCTGCCATAGAAAATTTAAGCACTATCTTTTGACAATTTCAGGGATGGACACCTTGGTCAAGAGTAGATCTTTGTAACAGATCAAGTGTTTTAGACAGGAAAAGCATCTGAACCCCTCCTAGAAAGATGTCGGTAGCTCTCAGCAGTGCTTATCAGATAGCAATTCTAATTAGCAAAAACATTTTCTCACATAGTCCAATTAAAGACAGCCCATAGCTATATCTGGGCAGTTAAGTCTTTAACTTGATTTAAAGTAAAGACTAGAAGCTACCTTCCAGATGAACATTCTATGATGGGATATATCCGTCTGCTTCTGGTAATCAAAAAAGCCACACTGGGTCAGAGAACCCAGGAAATCACATTTTTTTAAACAAAAAGGTTTTACTAAAGATGGTTTGGGGGGTGTCATTTCTGGAGAAGAAATCAAGGTGTCTGTGCAAACTGCCTTTTCCACCACCATGAATTGGTAGGACTCCTGTGAAGAAATCCCTACTTGCAGACTGAGATACATAGAGGTTCAAGGCTCTAGCAAGAGGGATGCAAATAAGCTACCTCTAGTGGGAAAAATACAGGAAAACAAATACTGTCAACAGAAAGGTGGCTTCTACCATATATACTGCAGATAAAGTATTAGATGGAAAGCCACCGGCAAACCTGGCTTTGGAAGATAGATCTGCTGTGCTCTTTTTTGAAGAAGAAATCGCAGATGACTATGACCAGCTTGAGAAGGGAAGGCATGCAGGCAGGCGCCAAGCTAGTCACACAGTTTCAAATAAATGTATTTCAGAAATGCCACCATGGATGCTACAGAGGTATCACTAACAAAGTCATCCAGAATAGAAGTCACTTCCCAAATATGAAAATGAGCAAAAAGGCAGAAACTATCCTAGGGCAAGGCTTTGATGCTTCCTCATTGACACTTGGGACAACTGCTGACCAGTTTCATTTCTGGAGGGTTTAAAATGCCCTTCTTTGTCAGATGTCATGGTAAGGATTCAAAGACAGCTATCTTCTGACCGTCTTTCAGGGAGTTTTACACATGCCTCACTAGATGTGGTGGCATTTTCAAACAGTACTGTTGGATTCAATTTAACATCCATGATCAATATCTTGTCACATCTCTGGACTGCAAGGCTCATGTTAAACAAACCACTGCTTATTTGAAGAAAGAATTAATATGATTGATTGATATATAGTGACAGATGTCACATTCTAATCAAAACAGGCCCCTCTGGTTTTTTTTACTGTGTCTTTGGAGATGATACATTTGCTGCTCAGCAAGTGAAAACACTTCTGTTTTCCATCATCACCACAAAATGCTAAAGGAAGCAGGCTCATGAACAAGCTCAGAAGCTCAAGGTTGGAGCCCATACCTAGAAACAGCGGAAATGATGAAATGGGCAGAGAAGAGTGTGGTTTCCATGAATGACCTTAAAGGGAGGGAATCATAGAATCATAGGATGGTTTGGGTTGGAAAGGACCTTAAGATCATCTAGTTCCAACCCCCCTGCCATGAGCAGGGACACCACACACTAAACTGTGTCGCCCAAGGCTCTGTCCAGCCTGGCCTTGAACACCTCCAGGGTTGGAGCATTCACAACTTCCTTGGGCAACCCATTCCAGTGCCTCACCACCCTCACTGTGAAGAACAGTGAAGAATAGTGTCTGAGCCACACAGAATCATGGAATATTTAGGGTTGGAAAGGACCTTAAGATCATTTAGTTCCAACCCCCCTGCTATGGGCAGGGACACCTCACTCTAGACCATGTCACCCAAGACTCTGTCCAACCTGGTGGAGCATTTACCACTTCTTTGGGCAATGCATTCCAGTGCCTCACCACCCTCACAGTAAAGAACTTCCTTATATCCAACCTGAAGTTCCCTTGTCTAAGTTTGAACCCATTACCCCCTGTCCTATCACTACAATCACTGATGAAGAGTCTCTCTCCAGCATCCTTGTAGGCTCCCTTCATCTTCAGTCTGGTGGCACAGGAAAAGTATGTGAACAGTCAGTCTTCTACCAGTTGAAAGGAGAGAAATACACTGAAGTCCCACCTACATTAAGTAGATTTTAAGTTATAGGGTAAATCTTGCATGTAGGTGACTCCACAATTTTTCCTGATTTCTACTTCAGGAGACGTAAGCCCAGGGGAAGCTGGGTTACAGTCCGACCAAAAGACCCAAGTTATTAAAGGAGATGGAAAG